TTCTTCTTCTTCTTCTTCTTCTTCTTCTTCTTCTTCTTCTTCTTCTTCTTCTTCTTCTTCTTCTTCTTCTTCTTCTTCTTTCTTCCATCCATCTGTGGGGATGGGATCCAGTGAGTGGGAGAAATAAAGCATTTTTTCTCCACTAGCCACAGAGAAGTCAGTGCTAGGTACAGGCAGGCTTCCCTTCTGAAGATGGAGCAATGAATAAGGGTGGTTGGTGCTGTGCTGCTGTAATCAGAGGTGGAAAGCCTTCTATATTTACAAGAATCCAGCTGAGCCTCCAACAATAACTTCCCCCCACCCCTTAATTTATAAGACTTTCAATGGGAGGACAAATGGAAAAAGCCCAGGCATTTATTATTTATTATTTATTATTAGCCTTCAAATCCATTCTCTCTGTGGAAATTTACAAATAAATATAACTGGGGAGGACTTGAAAGTGTCAATGAGTAGTCTTGACGATAAATGACTACAGGAACCCAAATGATAACATTTCTCATCTCCAAAACAAATTACTCACTCCTTTCTAGAAGCCCACAGGCCCTGAGAGACAGGAGCTGAGCCGGCATTACAATGGGGGACAGGGAACATGTTAGGATGGATTGTTAACCTAACCCAGAGAATAAGGTTCCCTGGTAGCTAACAGGGCAGATTTGACATTCGACCAGGATGGACACTTAGAAAAAAATGAGGCACAAACCACCTCTTTCCCAAATCTTCTTCCTTTCCCCTCCCCTCACCTCAGTCCATTTTTCTTAAAGCTGTCCTTTCTTCTTTGTGTGTGTGTGTGTGTGTGTGTGTGTGTGTGTGTGTGTGTGTGTAGGCAATCAGGGTTAAGTGACTTGCCCAGGGTCACACAGCTAGTGTCTGAAGCTGAATTTGAACTTGGGTCCTCCTGAGTTCAGGGCTGATACTCCATCACTGCACCACCTAACTATGCCTTTCCTCCCTTCTTTCAAACCAATCCAATCCTATCAGTCAACAACCTATGTGGGGAGCACTGTGCCGGGTGATGGAGTGCATGCAACAATCACAGGATTTGTAGGATTTGAAGTTGGAAGGGATCTCAGAGCTCATCATTTTGCAGATGAATAAGTGCTCACCCTCTGGGAGATTACAATCTAGTCGTATTCTATGGTGGCTCTGGCTTTCCTCGCTGTAATATTGGGAGATGGGCAATGTAAGAATCATCAGTCCCATTTTATAGATGAGGTAGCTAAGGCACAAGTTATTCAATCAATTATAAACATTTATTTAATGCCTACTATGTTAGGTGCTGGGGATACAAAGACAAAAATAAAACAGTTCCTGCCCTCAAAGAGCTTACATTCTTTCAGGAAAGACAACTTGTTTGTCAATACACACATATAATACATATATTGTATATATATATACAGACGCACATATATGTGTGTCTATAGATATGTGTATGTATGTATAAGTATACATAAATATATATGAACAAAAAGTGAAGTGGTTTGCCCTGAGTTTTGAAATGATGCCCGAAGAATACAGACAAACATTAGCTCAAAGTAATGCAAACAAGTAAACTTAATGGGGGACAAGGAGAAGTAGAGGGGAGTTGGGGTATGTATTTAAATGAGCAGCATCTGTCAGGTCTTCAAAGCCTTAGCTGACTTTTTTGTGGGATGTGAGGATGGAACTGAACCACTTAGGGGAGTTCAGCATTGACATTTATAAAGTCACTTATCTGGGTTGTCACTTAACCTAACTAGGACATTTGTTGTTCAATCATGTTTTTTTCGTGTCTGACTCTTTGTGACCCCATTTGGGGTTTTCTTGGCAAAGATTTGGCAGATGAGGAAACTGAGGCAAACAGGGTTAAGTGACTTGCCTAGGGTCACACAGCTAGTAAGTGTCTGAGGTCGGATTTGAACTGAAGAAGATGAGTCTTCCTGACTCCAGGCCCTATATTCTATCCTCTGAGCCACCTAGTTGCCCTAACTAGGGCATAAGTTTGAGCTAATGCAGCTGTTAATGACTCATGATGGCCCCTTGATGCTTTCAAATCCCTGGAACTTCTTGGTGCTGTAACTACCCAGAGGTTCTCTACACCCCTGGTCACATAGCTAGTAGGTTTTGGAGCCAGGATTCAAAGTAGGAAATTTAATGGAGTTAAATATAAAATCCTAGACTTGGGTACAACTGTACCAATATGGAGGGTAGA